AGGGCAACTTGCTTTTCCCAGTATGTTTAGGAAGGAAGAGGCCTGCTTCTGTTCAGCCCACTGTCTATGGGTTATCAGGAGGGCTCGGTGGGAAGGGAATGTGGTGAACCTGGGCCTAAGCTTGAAAAAAGTCGCCCCCCACCCCAAACACACGCGGAAGCTTCGGGATGTGAGGGGAAGCCAGGTCCCAGCAGGAGACTGAGGGGAAGGCTGCAGCTGCGCATCCTGCTTGTTATGAGCTTTGTGGGAAGTCAGCCCCCTGCTGGAACGCTTAAGTGAAGATTAGAGCGCCACCTCCCGGAAGGGGGCTTGTTTCCGCCTCGTATTAGGCTTGGCCTGCGTCACTGGCTATGCCAGTAGTAGAAAAGTTTTGACTGCTAGCTCTGCCTTGGCCGGACCCAGGCTTCCAAGCATCTTACCAATCCCTCTTAATGCGGGTGCTTTAGGGGTCTTTCATGTCTCTTGTGTGACCTTTGAGTGTGTGACTTTTAGGACGGCGTGCTCATAACTGTCATAGAGTACAGGGGCCCCCTATGGGTAGTTCATTAAGATAATGCCATGCTCATAACATAACAGTTGGGGCCCCTTGACTCTTCAGGTGATTTCCCCAGAGATAAAGGTAAGAGGAGTGGGTTCTGAGGTGAATTTGGTCCTTAAACCAGTCCTTAACGGTTAGGGAGCTGCTCTGAGACAGATAACTGAACAAAGAGCTCCGGCGGCAGTGCCTCTCTGTGCAAACTTCAGTCCCTGGCTTATAACCTGTGGTGGAGGGAATGGAACTTAGTACTGAAACAAATCTAAATCTAAGGTGCACCGAGCACAGGAAGGAATAGAATTAGGAGCCCTGAGCACTTGTCGGCAGTGCCTTGAATGAAAGGAAATAAAACATTGTTTTATCAAGGTGTGGTGGTACTCCCCTGCAGTCTGAGCACTCAGGAGGCAGAGACAGGCAGATTTCTGTGAGTTCGAGAACTGCCCGAGCTCTGTGATTATACTGGTCATCCAAGGTCTCAGATAAGTTCTGGAACATTTTGCAATCCCAGGAATGCTGTTCAACACTGCACAGTGAAGGGTACTGGGTTCACTGGTGCTATGAGAAATCCAGACACAGCAACAATTGAGACAGCACAGTTTTAACATAAGGTTCAAGATCTCATCTTGGAAATGAATGACGGAGATGATGAATAGCTAGTGGTTACAGACCACCATGAGGAAACAGAACTGTTATTAAGAGCTCACTTAAGTCCACAGGCATGGTGGCACACAGCTTTAATCACAACACTCAGGAGGCAGTTCTCTGTGAGTTTAAGGCCAGCCTGGTCTACAAAGCAGGTTTCAGGACAGTCAGGACTGTTACTCAGAGAAATCCTGCCCCCACCCCCCAAAAGTTACTTAAACCTAGGTAGCGTATCCCAGGATAGAGTCACACATGGTGCACAGGGACACAGTGCCTCAGGGCTGAGAGGCCTGTGCAGTCAGGAAACTAGAGTGGCTACCAGCTATGGGCTGAGACACAGGGAGCATCAGAGAAGCCAAAGCATGGGGTCCAGGGAGGGATATGGACTTAGGGCCTCATCAGATGCCTCACCAAGCCATGTTTAAAGGCATGGACAGCCACAAAGGCCACTGAACATTACTGAGAAATGCTACAATCAGTCACAGAGAAACCAATCAGGGTCGCATTCTCTTTTAGAATGGCATAGGCATCATAGAGGATGGAGGCACAAGTGCCCTCAGCTTAGCTTGAACAGTCAGGAAATGAAAGACTCTTCACTTAATAGGAAACTTCCATGGGAGAACAACTGCTCCCATGCGTGAGATCAGGCTGAGATGAGGCTGCCAGTCAAGGAAAAGGACTGTGATGGCCAAGGCCTAGGAGTTGCCATGACCTGGCATGGCTATTCTCTGATACAAGCCAAAGATGAAGCTAGATTAACCGAGCATGGCAATGATGATGAGAAATGCCAACAGCTGACCAAGAATAGGACAACCCTACAGTGGGTACCGGGGTCGCCAAGACCAGCCAGTAACTGACTGGACAGCTTCAGGATGTTGAAGTGAGAGCTGTGGGGGAAAGGGAATCGTATGCCATACAAAGAGGGAGCACAGGTTTTCCAAAACCACAGGATGTGTTCTTTGCAGAGATGCTAGACCAAAATTCAATGTCTTGGTTAGTAAAGCCAATAGTCACAGTTTGCTGGGCACAGTGGTGCACACCTTTAATCCCAGTACTTGGAGGTAGAGGCAGGTGGATCTCTGTGAGTTTGAGGCTGGCATGGTCTACAAAGAGAGTTCTATGACAGCCTCCATGACATCTGGGACTGTTACACACACACACACACACACACACACACACACACACACACACACACAAAAAAAAAAAAAAAAAACAAAACCCTGTCTCGAACCAACCAGCCAACCAAACAAGTGGGACATTGAATAAGTGATATAATTCAGAGAAACATGGTAGACCAAGCATTAATTCAGATAGTCAAGAACCAGGAGATGGGAGATTATGAACTTTAAACTGTAAAGTATCTATGTATTGGTAGTACTAGGGCTTGAGCTGAGGGCTTTGTGTGTATAAGAGCTGCATATCAGTTATATTTGCTAAATTTTAGGAAGGATAGAGATGGTGACACAATTCTACTGAAGACCCATGCCCAGCATGGGCAAAACCTTGCCTCTTCTTTCCATCACAGCAAAAAACAAAAAAACAAAAAACAAAAAAACAACCCCAAACAAACAAAAAAAATATAATAAATATCACAGAGCCACCTAGTCTCCTGGGATAAAGAGCCCTGAACTGATAAAGTTGTTTACATATAAATATTCATTAATTAACAATGTACTGAACCACTAGAAGAGCTGACTTTACAGAGGCCCAGATCCCATTAGGCATAAGTTTGAGGAAGCATCAGGATGCTAGTACCCCTACAGCATAGACTTCCAGTGGGATGGGAAGTCCACATAGCATGACCAGTGAAGGAGGAAGTCTGGTAGGCTTACATACAAAGCCTTTGCCTCAGGGACAGCCCAATACCCAAAGGCTCATGCCGGTTTCTTATAGAAGCCTGATCCCAACTCAGGATAGTAGTTAGTACTCAACAACTGTTGTTAGGCGAGACCAGTTCATTGGCTCAGAAACTGGGAAGGTTGCCCCAAAGAGCTGGCCTGACTGTCTCACTTGGTCTACAGACTATACTGACAGGCTACAGCACAGAACTATATAGTCCTATATATATAGTATAGTCCACTGCAATGAGGAAGAAAATAAAACACTTACTCTTGACAAGGGAGTTTTCATAACTGCATTAGATGTAAAGCAAGGTGTGAATCTCACACCCACTGGGATGGCCACAATTAAATAAATTTAAAGACCTAAACCAGCCGGGTAGTGGTGTATATCTTTAATCCCAGCACTTGGGAGGAAGAGGCAGGCAGATCTCTTGAGTTAGAGGCCAGCCTGGTGAGAGAGAGAGAAAAAGAGAGAGAGAGAGAGACTGAGAGAGCAAGCGAGGGAGTTTGTTCATAACTTTAAAATCAACACTCAGGAGGCAGGAAGCTTGGTCTACACAGGGAGCTCAAGGCCAGACAGGACAACACTGAGATTCTGGCTCAAAACAAAAACCTGGTCAGGTCAGCTAACACATTAGGCCTAGTAACAAGAACAAAACCCGTAGTCTTTCCAAGGTCATTAAAAACAGACAAAACTCACTCCTTTCAAGTTTGAAGACAGAGGCCATTAGTCTGAGATTCATTCCTGTCTCCTTGTGCTCAAAGGAGCTCCAAGGAGCCAGCTCAGTCAGACCCTCAGGTGAGTCTACTCCAGGTTCAGGGACTAGCTTCTCCAGAACTAACATTAGTGTGGGTACATTTGCTGGTAAATACAATCTTTTATAATATATTTATACTTGCATATGCATATTTTATTTATTTGAGACAGGGTTCCTCTGTGTAGCCCTGGCTATCCTGGTACTGTTGACTGACCTTGAGATCCAATTCCCTTTACCTCCTGAGCTCTAGGCTTAAAGGTGTGGGCTGCCCCTCCCCTCCCCTTCCCCCTGGGCACCTGGACTGTATCTGAGGCCTTCAACTCCAGAGTTTACAACCTGTGTCTCTGACTTGGGAAGGTATTTGCAGGGTGGGCTCATCCATAAAGTTTTAGGGACTTAATTTTATTTCTCAATGTAAAGTAGGCTCTCCCCAAGTTGTTATCTCACAGGAGGGGGCCCAGTCCCAGGCTGAAGACCCAAACAGGCAGTGCAAAGTTCACTCCAAGTCTTCAGAAGGGGGTGGAGTCCTGACCTTGAGACCACCTGAACAAACTCCTCAAGACTTCCCTTAAGCAAGACTGCATCAGTCCTGGGGTTCCCAGTGTGGCCGGATGGGCCCAGAATTTGTAAAACGGAGCCAGTCAGACTAGGCATTGTCATGCTAGTGAAATGCCTGCAGCTACATCCTTTTCTAACTGTGGCGGAGCCCTCCCCCACCCTGACTCTTTAGTTCAGGGCGACCTTGGAATTTCAGCTAAACTTGGAGAATTCTAGCAGGGTAGCTTACCTGCTGTGTTGTTGGTGGTACCCATGCTGTGGCTTCTCTGTGGACCAGACATCTCCAGGGCAATCTTCCTGGGAGCTATGCTCTCTCGACTATACCCGTTCACAAGGACTGGAATCCAGTCCGTATTAAAACTGAATTTGGCTCAGGAGGAGGTAGAAATTTTGGAGAGGCTTTACACGTCGTACCAGTCCAGTTTACCCACTCAAGTTTCACTCACTGCTGACCAGACCAGTGCTACCGGTGGGCGGGACTCCGCACCTTGAGAACGTTGGCATCCCAATCAGGAAACAACTGTGTACTCCCCACCCAAAACTTCACTTAAACTCGCGCATAATTCTGAAGAGTGAGGTTGCTTAGCCTTCCCCTTAACTTCGTATAACACTCTAACCTCAGGGGTTCATTCTTAACAGATGTGGAACCTGAACTCATTCACCAGATGAAGTAGAAAATACAATCTTTATTTTTAAGAGCCTAAGGTTGGGGTGGGGATGGGGACACTAACTGGGGTCGGGGTAGGTTGGGGGTCAGCTCAGGAGGGGAAAACTGACGACAAATAAGGCTTTATTGGCGCAGATCCCCAAGGATGACCCGCTCAGAGGCTGCATTGCCCAGGATGAAGCCCACCGCCAGGGAAACTGTTTGGTCGAAGGAACCTCGCAGATGTTCCACGTGCTGGTTCAGGGTCGCCAGCTGGTCACGCAGAGGGCCCAGAACCGTCGAGATGTCTCCCAAGTGCGTCAAGGCCTGCAGCAGAGCGGTGTTCAGCGACTGGGGCGCAACCTGCGGGGGCGTACGGTCCTGGGGAAGGACAGGAGGCTCGTTCGGGTCCTCCGTGTCGTAGTCGAGGGTTGGTGGCGGAGAGGATCCGAGGACGGCACGGCTGGGCTCAGGAGCCGGAGTGCCGAGGGCCCTAGGGGTAGGGGAGCTGGTAATTCGGCGGACATCTGCAGACTTCGCAGTGGAGCTATATCTCAGCGCCGAGGAGGGGTCGGCGGCCCCGGCAGCCAGCGGCAGTGTAGGCCCTACGAGAGAAGCGCGAGGTCCCGCTAGTGATGCGTACGGAATCCTACCTCTGGGTTCCGTCCCTTTCCGGTAGACCCAGCCCATTCCTGCCCGCACCGCTGGGGTCCTACCTGGCTCGACTGATGTAGGTGCGGACGTTAACACCGGGAGGGGAGCGCGGCCTCGGCGCTGGGGACGTCCAGGACCCGTAAGGCGACGGCGGACTCGCTGGTGCCCATCGTCGCCCAGCAACCCCATGAGCTGGCGGATCTGGTCATCGTAGGGCCCGGACGGTTGGCCATGGGAGTCTCGGAGTTTGTCCTTGAGGAACTTGTAGCGGCGGCGGCACTGAGCTGCCGTGCGCCGAACTTGCTGACGGGCCAGCGCGGCAGACACGCGGCGGTAGGTGGGCAGGGCCTGCCGGCGGTCCAGCAATAGTGAGCGCCACATGGATGGCTGCAGCAGCGTGCCCAGAAGTAGCTCCGTTTCTCGGGCACTCCAGGGCGTGCGCTGGGCCGATCCCGGCGACACCGGAGCCTTGGGCGAGCCAGGCTCCGCCATCGCGCCAGGAGTGTGGGCGAAGGCATCAGAAGTAGTCACCTGGACGTCCCCGGACGGCCGCAGCTCGGCGTCGGGGCTAGTTGGCGACGGTGGTGAGAAATGCGACAGCCGCCGGGGACGAAGCAGCATCCCGGAGCAAGGTGGACGTGCGTGTGTTCTGAGGCTCTAGCCTCACTGGAGGAGGGCTGTTCCAGAGCCGCCCACACACGCTGTAAGGACCCCCGCCGTCGTCCTCTGCGTCTAAGCTGGGTCGACGCGACCCTCCCATCGTTCAGCCGCCCCGCCCCTCCTCGTCCCGCCCCTCGAGCCCGCCTAGTTCCATTTTGGAGGGGCTTGTACCTTGCGTTTTCTAACCCATCCCTTTTTGTAGCCTTTTCATTAGAGATCCTAACCCAGAGAACAAAGTTTTGCTCCATTACACGAAGCAGAACATGTAAAAAACACTTTTTTTTTTAAGTTCAAAAACATTTAATCAGCTGCATTTAATCAGCCTTTAATCCCAGCACTGGGGTAGCAGAGGCTGGAGAATCTCTCTTGAGATCCCAGCCAGGCTGATCTACAAAATGAGTTCTAGGACAGCTAGGGCTACATAGAGAAATCCTGTCTCGATACACATACACACCTCACCCCGCGCAAAAAAAAAAAAAAAAAAAAAAAAAAAAAAAAAAAGGATGGAGAACCCCTCCCCCAATATTCTGGCACCCTTTGTGTCTTTGTACACCAGAATGTATTGTTCCTTCATGTAATTAATGGCTGTGTTACCCCCACCCTTCTTTCATCTGGCTGTGAGCTTTGGAAGTTGGAGGATGAGTATCTACTTTGCTAATCTAGCTAATAGTGGGGTGTTTGTTACTGTAAGGAGGCCACTTGGATGCTAGATTTGATAGAAATCAATGGCCCACTATTGGGATTGGAGTCTTAGTTCACATACACTACAAAGAATCTCTTTAGTAAAATGTATCTACTAATAAAGGTGACAGTATCACCTCTTCCTCCAAAGTTAGGACGAAGAAAGCTGGGTGGTGGTGCCACAGGCCTTTAATACCAGCACTCCCAGCACACAGGAGGTAGACCAATCCCTGAGTCTTCAGAGTACCTGGCTATACAAAGAAACCTTGTATCAAAAACAAAACAAAACAAAACAAAACCAGGCTGCAGAGATGGCTCAGAGATTAAAAGCACTGGCTACTCTTCCAGAGGTCCAGAGTTCAATTCCTAGCACCCACATGGTAGATCACAACCATCTGTATTGAGATCTTGTGTCTTCTTCTGGCCTGCAGGAACATGTGCAGACAGAACACTGTATACACGTATACACAACTTTATACACAATAAATAAATAAACCTAAAAAAAAAATAGGCTGTGCAGTGGTGGTGGCCAAGCAGAAGAAGGCAGATCTCTGTGGGTTTGAGGCCAGCCTGGTCTACAGAGCTAGTGCCAGGACAGCTAGGACTGTTATACAGAGAAATCCTGTCTCAGAAAACAAAACAAAACAAAACAAACAAACAAACAAAAAAAAAACAAAAAAAAAAAAAAAAAAAGGAAGAAGAAAAGGACATGCAAAGTTAGTTTTGGTGTAAAATTCTGGCAAGACAAGAAAAAGCGATCTAAAGATGGGAAAAAAATCCCTAGTGACCTGACCTGTGGGCTAGCTATATAAGCCCTATTTTTACAGAGATCAGTGGAGTCAGACAGAAGTACCAGTCTTGTATCCTACTTCCTATGGTTGGGATTTTAGTAGTCTCTTGCTGTGGGACGCACTGCTACAATGCATCAACAAAGATTAGCCACTGTTTCATTATTTAGTGATTTGTGGACAGGGACTTGATCAAGGACCAAGGATTACCTACTGTTCCCCTCCTGATTGGGGCAGGCCAGGGTGGCCTCTAGTGGGCCATATCAAGGCTAGCTGCCTGGGACAGCATTCTGAGTTACAACCTGTAACTGGGTCTTCATCACTTGGTTCAAGCCCTACAGGATGGTACCTAATGGCTCTAGGGTGAGGCAGCTGATGTGTATCGCAGGGAGAGGCATCTTTGCCCATTCAATACACTGTGTGTCCATTTTGAGCTTACTCTCAGAATTGTCGTCTTAGGGTTGTTAAACTCCATCTGTGTCGGAGGCTTCCCTCAGACTCAATACTCAGGACCAGACTCCAGGCTCAGCAAAGGGCAGGGACCAGAAAGGAATCACTGAGTCTTGAAGGCCAGTGGCTGTCACTTTTTCCTCTGCATAACCACCAGGCAGATAGCTCTATTGTCATTATAGAAACACCCCTAAGAACCCACTAATGTTCATTAACAACAAAAAATCCAGTAGACACACTTAAGAGCCCCTGGCCTTAAGTCTGTCTCTGAACTGTGACTTGAATGAGTACACTGAGATTCAAGCCACTCCTCAATCCATTCTTGTCTCTGAGACACCTGGGAGCTCTGCAGAGGTCCCAAGGGGTGGTCAAGCAAACCAGCTATCCCTGTTCTGTCCACAAGCTGATCAGTAGAAACTGGTTGAGGTGGACAGGTTACAGCAGGCTACTCCTCCCCAACCTTGGTGTCTTGGGAAAATGAGCTGTGGTCATCAGAAGTCTTTTGGAGAGGTTTTGGAGAGGACAACTGAATTAGAGGTGAGTCTCCCAGACCTGGTCCCATTGATAGTGACAGTATGAATGTCCTCAAGAGTGTGGTGTGATCTGGAAGTACAGTTTTCAGTCCTGGCCTGGGTATATTTCCTATCGAAGCCCTTTGAGATCCTAGGTGAGGTGTCCCTATGGAGCCTAGAAGGACTTACTTTAGCTTCAAAGTGGGTGTTGCTTTTGAAATCTATGAAAGTGGACCATATGGCAGTAGCTTGGTAGAAATGACTTTATTTAGAAATCTGTACCTTGTGACATTAGGGCGTCATGCAAACAGTGCTAAAGCCAAAAGCCTGTTCACTTCCCCACGCAATAAGTCAGCACCGTTGGAATGCTGGTTTGCGCTGGACACCTCCTGTACTAGATACAAAATCTGGAAATGTAGGCGTAGATCAACAGAACATAATCCTTATAGAAAAGTCCCCAAACAGTTATGTTGCATGTGCATGGCCAGGATTCTCTGTCCCACTTACATCCAGTGTAAGCAGGGCCTGGAGTCTCCAGCAAATTCATGTGAGGAAACGCATCTCAGCATTAAAAATCCAGCATTTGGTCACAAGTCATAGCTTCCTAGAAATACCACTAGCTGCTTCACTACAAAATCCCTACTTCTAAAATACAGACCGGTCTTGGTCTTGTGGCAGGCAGGGCTCAGTTGGGGCCAGTTGCTTAAGGTGTCTGAACAACCTGCTGTATTCCACCATATTCTCAGCCCTCCTGGCCAGTGAACCCCTTCCCACTGAGCCAAAGGCCAGCACCAGCTGTTGAGGATCCAGAAATCCAGGTGTCTGAAGCCTCGGAGACAGCAAGCTTCGCTCACACGTTTGTCTGTCTAACAAAGCACAGAGCCTAGGGAACACAGTGGATGGGTGTGCGCATGCACAGCTGCTGAAGGCTGATAGGCTGCCATTCTCAGGACCCACATGGCAGTAAAGGGACTTTGCTCCCAGAGGCTCCAGGAAGATGAGCCTGCATTGGTGCGGCTGTTACTGTGCAGTGTTCTTTTCCCATTTCCAGGTGTCAAGAGCCTCTCCCCAGCATCCCTGTCAATTGCAGCTGTTGTAAGCTGGGAGCGGGAGGCAAGAGACAACCCCGTGGGGAGGGCCAACTGCTGAGGCAGAAGGCCCAGCTGGGACAGAGGCTTCTCCCACTCTCTGGAGGCTGAGAGGACTGGAGGGACTTGGCAGGATCGGCTGCAGATGGGGTGGGAGTACAAACCTGGCCAAGACAGGTTGTTAGAAATCTTGGGCTCCAGTGGAAGGTTCCAGACCCTTTGGAGCTGCTGAGTGCAAAAGATAGTTTTGGTCCTTCTTGCTGAGTGGAAACAAAAATACCAGTCAGCAAGGAGTTAAGTTTGAGCTCTTTTGGAGTCAAATTTGGGTGTGTGTTGGGTTTTGGAGTAGTCAATGAAAAATAGGTGGGAACCCTAGTATAGAAGTCTCAAGCTCTGGAGCTGTTTGAATCTATTCCCTTTTCATTTTTAAATTTGACTTTTTAAATTCTAGAAGAGGCCCACCAGACAACTCTGTGTCCACCCTGCCTTGGGGATAGGGCTCCTTTGGAGTTGACTTAACCCTCCAGGTGGATAGCCTCAGGCTAGTCCCTTGCAGCTTCCAGTTCTGTTCTAGGAAGTAAACACAGTTTTCTTCAGGGCACTCAGTGGGTCTGAGCCTTTGCAAGCAGACATGGGGGTTCCTTCCATCTGACCCATTTTCCCCAGTCTGGTCCTACTTGGAGTCTACACCCAGATGGAACCCTTGGCTACTGGAACGTGGCTTTCATTCTCCTCAGTTTGTCTTGGATCTTCCGGGAGTGCTTTTCGCCAGGGATCAGGTGAAAGTTGGCCCTGTTATCTGCTGCTAAGATGGAAACATCCGCCCCGCTAAAACGGGCAATTCTTTGCTTCAGGTGAGCCTGTAGCTTGGGGTCAGGGCTGAATGTATACGGGTTCTCCTGGAATGCATGCACCTGGCTTGCCACCTTGGCGATGTTTCTTTTTTGGGAAGAGAAAAGGTTCATTAGTTTCCACCTTGGCCAACTAATCCTAATGTCTTTTTCGGAAGGGCTCCAACCAAACCTTTCCCAAAGCATAACACCAAAGGGGCAATTTCCTGTGCTTACTCACAAGGACATGCACCCTACCACCCCTAGCTTTCCCACCCCATCCCCCACTCCCCCTCATCTTTCATAAATATTCAGTGAAAACCTCTGTGTCAGGTTGCTCCAGTTCAGGTCTTCAGCATGGAAAACCAAACCAGACCTCTGAAACCTACACTGACTGTCCTGTTCTGCTTGGGCCTTCTGGCTCTGCACTGGGAACACACCACGGTGGTTACTGGGACCCAGAAGCCCTTCCTCCTGCCGGGGACAGCAGACCTGCGGATGCATCTGTCCACCTCAGCTCCAGAACAGTGCATTCATTGCTTTTGCTCTTTAAAGGACAAAGGTGAAGACAGAGCTCTTCACCCTCTTCTGTAGCTTTCACCTCCAGTCTTTAATTTCCCTTCCACTGATGTAGCTTTGTTTTCTATTGCAATAGCATGTACTTCTAGTGCATTTCGCTTTTCCTTCCTTCCTTCCTTTCTTTTATTTAACT